AATATAATATATATATATATATATATATATAGTGCATATTAATGTATATACCAGGAGATTTGGTGTCATTGATTGCTACACAAAAGTCCTGAAGAGGACTGGGATCAGAGGCTGAGGCAAGGAAGGTTGCAAATGCCAATATGGCCAGAGTGCTTATGAGAAAATGAACACCTTTCATCGTAGTTGGCTTAGAGAGTTGGTTTCAGGGTGGGATGAAAATCCTTCATGGGATATAAGTCCATTTATAGATTGGAGAGAATGAACTAGTCTTGTCCTCTTACAGATATAATTCTTCTCGTGGAAGCAGGTAATTAAAGACTTGAATATAATATTTAGAAGCAGGTCAAGACTTGGAAATTGATAAAATCTTTTTTGTATTTTTTATGTCAAAGAAAAAACTACGTACGAGGTCAGGTGAGGAAGAAAAGAATATATGTAATCATGATGACAAAAACCAGGTACTAGGAGTTGTACCAAAAAGAAAGAGTAGTTAAAGGAGATAATTATTTTAAAAAATTTAGGTGGTATTTAACCAATGGAGATGTTCGTTGTGCTATATCTAAGAACCCCTAAATAAAAAACCCAAAGCAATTGTTCAATGTTTTGTGCTATATGGATTCCTTCTACCAGAGAGAAAGAAATTCTTATTTCCCATGAACATTGATGGTGACAATTTGTCTCCATATAAAGTATAACAGTGCCCCAAATTGCTCCTGTCATTTTCACCTGCACCGTAGAAACTTGAGTCCATGTCTTTTTCTTCTTTTCCATTTTCCACCTTCTAGCTAGTTTGAAGCTGGTCTTGCTCTCTGTTTTTCGATGCAGCGGTTGCTCTTCACTATTCTGCGATTTGGAGTTAATTTGATGGCTAAAATTCCTGCTTGTATAACAAACATGGGCTTAGCCAAGTTGGTTAGAGCGGATTTACTCCTCACTCTGCACCCGAGTTCGAATCTTCCTTCCCATAGTTTAAATTAAATTAAAATAGAATATTGTATGAATAAATTTAAAACAATTCCGCTTGTAGACTTAAAATGCGAGTTAGCACTCCCCAACCCCAACCCTCACTTCCCTCTACCCGAATACTATATAACCCTAGCTTGAGGGGTGAGGAGGTCATTGTTTCTCCTCCCCTCTCCTCTCTTTCTCCCTCACTCTCCTCCCCCCTCTCCTTTCTTCCCTAATAGTGAGTAGAAGATCATTCTCTTGGGTTCGATTTTCATGGCCCTTCACTCTTCCTTCCGGCATTTCCTTGTTCTTTGTCTTAAGGTTTCCTTTTTATTTATTTTTATTTTTTTTGGGGTAAAAAATGTTTCCTAAGTTTGTGTTGTGTTTTGTGGGCTTGTTGCCTTTATGTGAGTTTTATAACTCTAGTGAGCTCTATGCTTTTGTGTTGCATTTGGTTGAGCTCATATTATTGGCTCACTTTACTGTAACTAACTTTGACCTTGTATTTAATGAAACGTGATTTCAACCCAAAAAAAGAAGAAAGCTTAAAATGCATCCTGCGGGCTAAGATCCAAAATGCAGGCCCATAAAGTATAACAAAGATAGATGGCTGAGAATAAAAAGGAAGCGAAGTTATAACCGGGTTGGAATAGTGTCCCAGTGGGTAGGAAATGAGGCACATGGCCCCTTAAATTTTTATTTTTATTTAAGAGCTTCAAATTTGAGGAAAAAAAATAGGGCCTAAAATATACACTAAAACTCTATAAAAACAACTAACATTTCAATGGGTCTATAGTAACAGAAAAAACCATTGAATATCTTACATTTTACAACACTACCATCGCAATGTTATAAACATATCAAATTTCTTACAACAAAACATAGCCCAAAACAAGCCCAACTTACTTTTACTAAAATCAAAATGAGGTAAAGATGGGCTTAGTCAAGTTAGCTAGTGCACTTGAGTTTGAATCCCCCTTTTCGTAGTTTAGATTAATTTAAAGTAGATTATTTGTATAAAAAATGGCAAAAAGTCACTTTTGGTCTTTGTAGTTTGTCACTTTTATCATTTTGGTCCCTGTCATTTCAATTTTGTCAATTTTGTCTATGTGGTTTAAATTTGAAGCAATTCAAGGACAATCCTCAATTTCTATCAAATTTTTTTAACTTCTCTTAGTTGTAGAGGGGCAATTCGGTCAACAAATTATTAAAAAATTAAGACATAAAAAAAGAAAAATCTTAAAATTGAAAAAAAAATAAAAAATCCCACCGCTCATACACATTCCCCACCCCTCCTCTTTGCACAAACACACCAAACCCTCCTACTAATCCCTACCGCCTTGTCCATCAAATCCAGAGCATTGTCACTAGCCAAAATATCGTCATGGTCCAGCTGCTTAAACAATGACAAATTGAGATTTGAGGGTTTTGGTTGGTGAATTGATTTAAGTGTTGTGAGATTGATGAAATGAGAAATTGGGAAAGACCCCAAACACATTTCAAAGGCTTCTGCTTGCTTAAACAATTTTTGGGGTTTTCACAATGGCCGCTAAACAGGTTTCGGGGACACCTGGCATCAACAAAATGAGGTTCGAGACTCGGTTGGACTTCCTTTATAAAGAAAATCAACGGCACGAGTGAATTTAATTGCTAACAAAACATGATACACCTAATTAAGGAGGACATAATGAGCCATATACCCTTCAAAATGCATCTAATACATAACATAGAAGAAAAAAAAAAAAAAAAAAAAAAAAAAAAAAAAAAAATGAAATACAAATACAAAATAAAATTAATTTAAGTTGCATTCTTCGAATCTTTAAAGAATTCAAATTATTCATTATTCATTCATTATTGGTATTATCAGTTAATTTTTATTTTATTTTTGGTTGTGTGTTAATACTACATCACATTTATAAAAAACTTGTCTCTTAAAGAAAAAGCTTGAAAAAAAATCCATACAAGCTGTAACCCATTGTAGTGGCTTTTTCGTTCTAGCAGCTACAAATGAGCATGGGGTGCTGTAAAGAGCAAATAGATGAAGTTGTTCTTGTGCATGAGTTCAAGAATCAAGCCCCAAGAATGCTTCGAAAAGTTCGTACAGCCGTAGGAAGCACTTTGGTTCCATTCATCAACAAGACAGACAACTGTTACAGATCAATATTATGACTTGGCTTGAGGAGCTTGTGGCATGGGAGCTAAGCCTCCATGAGTTTAGCAATATAGAGAGAAAGCTTGGATTTCTTATGGGAAACAGAGGTTCAGAGAAAGGGGGGAGGGAAATTTGGGAAGATTTGATGAAGAAAGAGAAGGAGAGATGGGGATAAAAGAATAGGTGGCTTGAGTAGATTTTCCAGCAGCTTGACGATTGCTTGGTCGTGCTCTGGATGATTGTTTTGTTGGGTAGGAGGTGCCTCCTTTTATAGGCACTGGAAGCCTCTTCTGGCCCTGGAACCCTAGCTGGCTTTCCCCAAATTTTTCCAAGTCTTCTTCTCCATTTCTCTTTACTTCCTTCGATTCAATCCTCTTTGGTGAAAATTCCTTAATCCAAGCACACTGGGGCAGAGTTTTTTGGGGGTTTTCCTGCAGTTGACTCCTTCCATCCTAGGTGAGGCACCTCTTGCTTCTCTTCCTTATTTTCCTACCAAATCTTACATAGGAAAGAATGGGTAAGGGTGCTAGTCTAAAAGGTGTCTTATTTCCAGCAGCCCATGCACATGGGTTTCACTTGGTTTTGATTTGGTTTTAATAGGGTGCTGGGGTATTTTGGAAGGTGTTGGATATTTTTATAAGATGTTGAGCTATCTCCCTAAGGTGTTGGACTACTTCTCTAAGGTCCTGCGCCATTTCTCAAAGGTGTTGGACATTTTCTCTCTCATGCATGCCTTTGTGATTGGGCTTAAGAAATGGGCTTGAGTATTGGTGTTCCCAAGCAGCCCAAAACTTCCAATCCTTTGACCATCAATGGGCCTCATGAACACTCTTAACCATCCATATGATAACCCGCTCAGCAAGCCTTAGGCATTCGCGTGGTTTGGGTTCACTTAAGCTCATAGCGTGGCTTGGTGCCAAAATAAAGGTTTTTTTCTCTCGATGTTGCATGTTATTTGGCATGTTTGTGCTCGAGTTTTTCCCATATTGTAATGGGCTATGGCTGGGCAAAACAATGCTTAACGGGACAATAAGCGCAGGTTCATGAAACCAGTATATTTTACAGACTTGTTACAACTTCCTTGCCTAGCGGGTTGCGTATATGCTTGGCGCGGCACATGGACCATGACTTTTGCAAGCGCATACGACAAATTCTTGCGTACTCCAATCGGGCTCTTTTCTCTATTAAGTGTTGTACTGGGCTAGAAATATATTTGGGCCCAGCCTTGGATTTTTTGGCCATCAACATTAGCCCCCTTGATTATTGGGGCCATGAATGGGTATTGAAATGGGATGAATAATCAAACCCAACTAAAAATCAAATTCATGGTGGTGACGTGACCTTTCCCCTCCTTTTCTTTTCTTTTCTCTTTTTTTTTTCCTCCTTATTCAAGAAAAGGGTCAGTCCCTCTTTACATCCTTTTTTTTTTGGTTGCTTTCTTCAGTAAACCCAGAGCGAGAGAGAACGACAACAAAGAAATAACGGGAGCACCTGTCTGAGGCCTTTCGAAGCTCACGCTAATCTCACACCTCGTCGCTCCTTGTGTGAAGAACCTACTCACAGCCACTGGAAGGAATCCCAAATTTCTATCCCCTTTTGGTCCGACTAAAGTTGTCTCAGGGGAGCTCTTTTCTGTTTTCCTTTCTTTTGAATACCAGCTCCTCCGGTCTTTTCGTCGTCATTGTACGCGTCTATGTCGTCGCTGCAAGTTGTTCACCCCCATTTTGCGTTTACTCCTGAGATGGAAGAGCGAAGTTCCCCACTGCCTTGAAAACCATTGACTGGTGAACAAGTCAGCTTTCTTTGGTGTATGAGTGTGCCACTGCTAGTAATGAAAATTCTAGCAGACTTCTTCTAGAGTAGATAACTTGCGTCCCAAGTTACTGATTTCTAAAAATAAATGATTGTGAATTTGGGTGAGGAATATCTCCCAAGTAAGTTCTTTTCATGCCTCAGACTGGTGAGGACTTTCATAATTTATCTCAGTATAAAAACAGTTGTTCTTGCTAGAATAGTTGATAGGAATTGAGCTGTTTTAAGGCAGAACTGCCCTTTACACAACTATAAACATACATATCAACGCTAGAAAGATTGAAAGAGGATTGGAACTCCATTTCTGCCTGGATAGAAGGCTCTGATCCGGGCTGGACTGGATATGCCTGGGCAGGACTGGGCTGTCAACAACTTCAACTGCTAAACTTCAACTGTAAATCGATACCAAAGTTCAATTCTGGCAAAGTTTTAATCTACTTCAAGCTTTGTGAGGCTTTTGAGTGGGCAGAACTGCGGCTTCTTCAGTCTGAAACGGCAGAAGTGGCTATTCTTGAGGACTCAGTGTGTTAAGGACTGCACTGTGAAATTTGTTGAAGTTTTCATATTTGGGAAAAACTCAAGCTCTGTCTGTCTTGGTATTTGCTGAACCAAATTTGTAACGAGAGATCTCGTTTTAAATGACTTATTTTCTAAGTCTGGACTTTGGGGATTCTGATCTAAAGTTGGCTTCTCTTGGAGTTTGAGTGAGCTTTTTGGTTGTTTTCTTGTTATTTGTTTGATTGATGAATTGAGTGTCTTTTTTCTGTGCCATGTTCACTCCTTCTTATATTTACAAGAAATGCACAGGGGCAGGGTTTCTTTCTTTAAAATAATGGGCGGCAAGTCTTGTCAAAGATTTGCAAAGAGATATAAGAAAGGGAAGGATTCTAATTTAATTCTGTCAGATAGGCTTTTATCAATCAATCTTTGAGATCACTTCCCTGTTTTTTTATGTATTTAAAAGAAACCTAATTCCTTTTCCCAATTTAACTGCCCCTTGTGAGATTTCAACCGTGATGGTTAGTTTGATTTCTTCAGTTTGAACAAATCCCTGCTTTCCTGCTTATCTTCTTTCTGAAAACATAGCCTGGGTATCCCTTGAAAAGATGGTGCCTCTTTGGAGTGGAAATAATATCTTTGAATATATAAGAGGGATTTTGATTTTCGGATGGCAGAGTTTCAGAGATATCTCTTCCTAGTTTGCCAGCCACTGCTCTTTTCTTTTTAAATTCCCAATCAACTTTGTGATAGTTGAAATTGTTGACTTTTTTATTTCTGGTGGTCACGTGGGTTCTTGAAAAATAGGCTTTAATCAAATCTGTGACATTTTAATTTGGTCTGCGCTGGTGATAGGCTCCTCTCTCTTTCAAAAAGACTTGGGTAGATTCTGGACTGGGGCTTTTAATGCTTTGGGCTGAATGTGTATTTATGGCCCAATTTCAAAGAAGTGTTGGTGGCTGCCAAAAACCGAGATGGGCTTTTACTTCCTCATACTGGGTGTGCCAATTTAGGCCCAAACATAAGTAGAACTGGCAATATTGTACACAACTCATTTAACACGACACGAATTCGCACGAAAAATTCAGTATTCATGTCTGAGTTATTGTGCCATGTTGAGATCTTGTTGAGCTGTTACTCATTCGTGAATATACGAACCAACCCGTTAAGAGAGGGTAATTTTGTAATTTTCAATTCTAAAAAATCCCTCCAAACCCTAGCATCTCTTTATTCCGCATCATCTCTGCATCTCCTCTCCGCAACTTTCTCTCCCTCAAGTCTTCATCTTCTCCTTCTTCTTGCAATCTCTCTCTCGATTTCTCTCTTACAAAAACCTCTGTCAACAACCTCATCTTCTTCTTCTTCGTCATAAATCAATGATGCACAACTTTGGGAAGTCATGGTTAGTTGCATAATTCCCAATCATGCCATGAAATCCATTAGACCTCAAATTGAGAAACTGTAGTGCTGAAGTTCCCCTAACCAAGATGGGAAGATGTCGCGCATATGATTGTTTCTAAGGTTAAGAAACTCTAATCGAGTGCAATTGGCCATTGATCTTGGTACTTTTCCATGTAGCTGATTGTAACTCAAATCAACCATTTTCAAACTATTTTCAACTGGACATATTTGAGGAATACTGCCATGAAATGAATCACTGGAGTTCCCCAAACATTGTGGAAGCATGCCACTCAGGCTGTTGTTGGACAAATCAAGAATGTGCAAATCATTCAAATTGCAGAACAAGGGCGAAATTTCTCCACTGTAATGATTGCTGCCGACCATATATTTCTGATTGATTGTGGTGGAATTGGCAGTGATCCTTGTAACATATTGGTCTGGAGATCTAGAAGTTCAAGCTGTGGAACACTAGCACTCAAATTGGTTATGATCAGCAGAGATAACTTGTTGTATGATAATTGAAGTTCCATTAACTTTTTGGGCTGGGAAAACTGATCAAACTCAACTTGTCCACTCAAGCTATTAGAGGAAAGGTCAAGAATTTCAAGATTTTGGAGCTGGAAGAGTGACCTAGGAATTGCTCTTTGCAAATTGTTACCCGGAGGTATAGAGTAGTTAACTGGGCCAAATTCACAAGCCAAGATGGGATTTGACCAGTTATTTCGTTATTATCCAAGAATAGAAATGAAAGTTGCGTGAGGTAAGCCACAAAACTTGGGAATTTTCCCCTGAATTTGGTGGCCCCAAGGGACAAACTGTAGAGGTTGGTTAAACTTGCTATCCAAGACAAGGAATATTCAGAAACTAATTGGCCTGTGGAATTATTATTTGGAATGTCATTAAATGAAAACATGTCAAGGTAGTTGAGCTGGGTAAGGTTTCCAAGTGAAGATGGAACAAGGGGGTAAAAATGACAGCGAGAGATGTCCAACAAATTTAAGGAATGGAAGTTTCCGATAGAAGTAGGCAGCATGCCAGAGAAATTCGTCCATGCAACATTCAATTTCTTCAAGAGATTATTGCTCCTGTTAAAGTTAGGGAAATAAGTTACCTTTCACATCCAGAACCTCTAAGTTTGGTAGGTGGAAGATGCCTACTGGGAATTCCCCATTCAACTCACAACAGCCAAATTGGAGAGATGTTAGAGAAGATGCATTGACCAAGATATCAAGCACAGTGGAGTATATCTCTACCCAATTAAGATGAAGTTGTTTTATGGCGGTCAAGTTCTGAACCAGGCTTCTCATGTTGCCCTTGGTCAATTTCAAAGGGATACCATAAGCATCAAATTTCGGACCATTGAAACACAGATCAAGGGTAGACAGCTTTGATAGCTTTGAAATTTCTGATGGAATTTGGCCAGAGAATAAGGAATTTGAAAGGTTGAGATGTTAGACTCGAAAGATCATGACCAAATCTTGACGGTATTTGAGAGAAATTGAAGTGATTATCTGAGAGGTCAAGCCTCTGCAAGTGAACAAGGTGGAAGAGAGTGTTGCTGGAATTGATAGAGCCGTAGAGACAGCTGCTACGGAGATCAAGGCCGTCAACATGGCCAAAGTCTTCATCACACTCAACACCATCCCATGAACAACAATTACTCCGATTCCCATCTCCTTCTTGCATCCAAAATGAAACCTTCAGATAAGCAAGAGGATCTGTAGAAATAGACTTGTTAATTGCAAAGCTTTCCTTGAACTGCAGCAAGGCTGAGCAGTCATCAACCTGGCCAAGTGTTCGGGTCTGCACAAATAAATAACAGTGAGTAGCAATGAGTGACAGAAAAATAAAACAACGTAGAGAAATGAACTTCGACTGCCACGATTTCATTCCCATTGCAATTTTGTTTTGTAATATGTATGCTTAATTATGGCTCTCACACAATTAAGGGTGGAGAAATTATAAACTCCTTTTATAGAAAGAGAAGAAGCCAAGAAGGTGAAGAGAAGTTTATCGTCTTCAAAGTCTTCCAAAGCTAACCATTCAAAGTCTTTAAAGTTTTCCATTAATTAATTTACCTCATTGGTTTAAATATATTTATTTCGTGTTTATTAAGTCTTTGTATGCAAGTTTAAACTTATTTATTTTGTGTACAGTTTCGAACCAGAGTTTATATGCCATTAATCAAAAGTCTTTCAAAGCTGACCTTTATTTATTTATTTTTTTGGTGTTAACAGGTCCTTTTACACAAGGAGAGGCTCACACAAACGACGTTTATGCAATTTGATTTGATGCGAACCATACAAATTGCTAACCCTAAATAGTGTGAATGTGCAAATAAAAAGCACAAAGATAATACTTGTGTTTTAACCTATTTATTTATTTATTATTGAAACATGACAGCACTCATGGTGAATAAATTTTCAGAATTACCAGTACCTACCCTTCCACTGAAATTGCGGGTGAGATTGAAAATAACATGGAAAAGCTAAGGCCATGTGATCGATCAATTGTAGCATGCAAATATTCACTACTACAAAAAGTGAAAAAGACGACCAGAAAAAGACGATGGTAGAAGAAAACACCGTCGTTGTATTTAAAAAAACGACGATAACAAAAAACCGTTGTGGATAAGTGACTTAAACATCTAAAAAACGAAGGTACTATTGAATATTTTTTTATAACGACGCACACAAATAAAAAAGATTCGTCTTATTAAAAAGGTTTTCTTCAGAGTTAAAATCTGACCAAAAAACAACGACAGTAGGTATGACAAGCGTCGTCTTTTAAAAATCAAGTGTCCTTTTTTTTTGGTAAAGACATGGTTGTTTTGAGAGAACCGTCGTTTATTATATGTAAATATGACGGTTTTTTTTAAAAAAGAGTCGTCTATTATAAAGTAAAGACGACCCTTTTAAAAAAAAAGGGTCATCTATTATATGTAAAGATGATGGTTTGTTTAAAAAAGGGTCGTCTATTATGAAGTAAAGATGACAATTTGTTCTGGAAAAAGGGTCGTCTATTATATGTAAAGATGTATGTAACTAGTATGGGGCTGTTACATTCAATAAAGGGCTACCAAATAATGTTTTCAAGAGGCATGTAACTAGTATGGGGTTGTTATCCGATTTTGATGCATAAAAACAGTGGAAACAGAAGGGACGTAGTGGGAATTTGCAGTTTTGTCGTCTGAGCTCTGATTGAGGTCCATGATATGGGAATGAAGCCAGGAATCAGACTCAGTGCTTTGCACTGACATATGGTTGTTTTTGGCCATTTGAGGTTGTTTAGCTTTCCAAAAACGCATTTAAAGAGTTGAAAGTAAAAGACGACGGTTTTTTTAAAAAAAAGAGTCGTCTATTATAGGTAAAGACGACGGTTTTTTTTTAAAAAGGGTCGTCTTTAACTATAATAGACAACTCTTTTAAAAAAAAACCGTCGTCTTTACTTTCAACTCTTTAAATGCATTTTGGAAGGCTAAACGACCTCAAATGGCCAAAAACCACCATATGTCAATGCCAAGCACTGAGTCTGATTCCTGGCTTCATTCCCTTTTCAAAAAGGTATCATTGACCTCAATCAGAGCTCGGACGACAAAACTGCAAATTCCCATTACGTCCCTTCTGCTTCCACTGTTTTTATGCAGTAAAGACGACGGTTTTTTTTAAAAAGGGTCGTCTATTTTATGTAAAGATGACGGTTTTTTTTAAAAAGGGTCGTCTATTATATGTAAAGATGACGATCTTTTTTTAAAAAGCGTCGTCTTTTAAAACACGCTAAAAAATGGCCGCTTAAGTGAATTCGTGCTCGAAAAATTTTCAAATTTTCACCCGTCTTTGAAAACCTTATCTCTCATTAACAAGCGTCGTCTTTTAAAACACGCTAAAAAAAGGCTACTTAAGTGAATTCGCGCTCGACAAATTTTTAGATTTTCCCCCATCTCTGAAAACCTTATATCTCCCTCCTTGAAACCCTCCTGCACTCTCTAAAACACCCTCATGAAACTCTCTAAAAGACCCTTCTATATCTTGCTAGTGAATTCTGGATTAGTCTCTTTGCGTTTCTGGTATGTTCTTTGTCTCCCTAATTTCAGATTTTGTCTCTTTTGATTTGTTTGGTTTGTTTACATATTTTTTTATATTTCTGGTTTCTTTTTACATTTTCTGATTTGGTTATCAGGAGATGATGAGGAAGCTTGCAGATTTATAACTTTTTCTTTTGCAGGTTTTCTACGTGAGTCGTATGTTTTTTTGTTGTTGAAAATTTGTTACCTTCTCTTTTCACTATCATTTTATTTATATATTTTTCCTTTTGCAGGTTCTCGATGGTCTTTTTTATGCTCATTTTACAAGTTTTCTATGGAAATATGGACCAATGGTAACATTTCTCTTCCACCTAATTTTTTATGTTTATAATCTTAACTTTTTTTCTCTCTTTGTCATTTTGATTTATTTACAGGGATGATGGAGGAGACTTCAGTTGTGCATCATTTGTATGTTTGGATGAGGATGCTTGGATTAGGAGTACGTAGGTCTTGTTAGGAATTATGTTTGTTGTAATAACTATTGAATCTTCAAGTTTTATGAAAGAAACTATTTTTGAGTATATATATTCATTAATAAAGCATTATGGTTGGTTTTCTAGTTAAAATCGTTGTATAGCATCATAGGAAATCAAAAAGAACTAAAATGTAGCAGTTTGGAAACTTATTAGACGACGGTTTTTATAATAAATCATGGTCTTTATAGATAATTAACGACGGTTTTTATAAAAAAGTGTCGTCTATTATAGGTAAAGATGACTTTTTTTTTAAAGGGTTGTCTATTGTATGTAAAGATGACGGTTTTTTATAAAAAATTGTCGTCTTTATAAACAATCCACGACGGTTTTCATAAAAAAACCGTCCTCTTTACATACAATACACGACGGTTTTATTAAAAACGTCGTCTTTCCTCCTATAAACAACGACGATTAACTTTAAAAACGTCGTCTTTACAGATAAACAACGACGGTGAAAAGCCGTCGTAGTTTGAAACCCAAATAGACGGCAGTCAATTTCACGACGGTTGGAAAACCTTTTACACGACGGTGGTTTCCCGTCGTCTATTTCGATATTTGTAGTAGTGATTAAAGAGATTTTCTATTTAAAGCCCACACTTCTCTTAGTTCACCCAATGTTCTAAGTTTAACCCAATTTTTAATTTAAATTTTCACAATTTCTAAGAAAACCCCACTATCTTCGCAAACTACCCTTAAATACACCTCAAGCTGAAAAAATAAGAAATAAAAGAAATTTTCTATTTAAACCCCATAAGCTACCCTTAGAGGAGGAAGTACGTTCTTATTTGACAGACACTTGATTTGTTGACATTAGGGTTAAGTATTAAGTTGGATGACCTTTTTTGTCTTTTTACACAATAATAAAACTTGCAGCTTAATGATTTAAGTATTTGGGTGAACGAAGAGAAGTGTGGGGTTTAAATAGAAAATCTCATATTAAATTATGGCATATGGTGTTTACTTGTAAGCCTATGACGGTATCGTAATGTGAGATATTGTAAGGCTAAGTTATGATATATGTTTGCGATTATGCTTGTGAGCCTTGCATTCACCTTCATTCTTCTATGCAACGCAACAGTCAACACACACATCAAATTCCTCTGCATCACATACCATATGTCTTATTTTACACTCACTTTGTGAATGCTTAGTTTTAAAAGAAAAAAGAATTGAACAGATCAAATCAAATGTATCATATCAACTATCACCTAAATATCACAATCAATAACATCTTTTCCACTATAACATCAAGGGCCTATATAGCAATAAAACGCCTCAATAATATCTAATCCAAGACTTAACATTCCATGTAAACACATTTCTTTCACCTTCCACACATCAAATAATTCTCTTCGATATTGGTTTCATCTTCTTGTTTGGGCTGCTTCATGCTAGCTGCAGTCTCCCCTTCTATGGGTTCATAATTCCCACACTCTTTGAGAGTCATAATCACCAGAAATTACATTTATAAGGGTTTTGATACATACAAAATACAATAGAATTCAATGTACAAATTAATGTTATTGATGAAAACACAAGAAATGTGAAGAGAACCTACAGAGTGAAGCCAAACGTGAGCATGAACCGACCACAATCCTCGATATCCACAGGAAGAACAGTTGAATGTAAGGTCTTGATCATATGTCTTCCATCACCCCGAACAAATATTTGAAACGTGGTGATACAAATATGTTGAACCTTGTAAAATTCATAATTAGTGCCAGTCTTAACATGAAAGAGGTCATGGTTCCCCAAATGAACAAAATAGTCACTCTCTAGCCCATCAAATGGACATGGTAGAGATACAATCGGCAGCGTCCATATGCATGGACCCTCTTCCGTTAATGTAATGACTTGAAGTCAAGTTTATCGTCTTCGATCATAACTTATTCTACAAGTAGTTTATTTCGTGTTTATCACTCTGAAGTCATTAAGGTTGAAAAGTCTTGAACCAATTTATAAGTTGAAAAATAATGCACGTTTGGTGGAGACTTCTACAAGCTAGCAGAATTTTATAGAATAATTTAGAACACAAAGTCGGTGGATGTATTCCCTAAACACTAGTTACTAACTTAATTGAAGCTACAATATGTGGCTGGAATTACAAGTTAATGTCGGTTTACTAGAATAACCGACTTTACTACTTGGTTTGTTCCCTCTATAAATAGGCATTAAGCTTTCTGTTTGTAATCAAGCTAGTGATAAAGGCCAATAAGCCAGAAATAGGAAGGAGGCCAATAAGCCTAAACACTAGACACTAAACACTTTCTAGTTGAAGATGGCCCTAAACACATACCTTTAGTTTTAATACCTTGAAAATGCAATTTAGTCAACCT